CTGATGAGCTACTCATTGTAAGGATAAAGTTTCAAGTTCTATAGCAATTTTGCAATTAACATTACAACAAACGTTTTCTCAACACATTTTATATACAGATAACTTGGTTACAATAAAGCTTTCCGAAGAGTGATTATTTTGGGAGGGAGTATAACTGATTTAATTTACTTCAGTAATCGAAGCAACTAATTCTGACCATTACCTTTTAAATTTTTTTTCCTACAAAACTAAGAAAATTAACACTTTCCAGAGATTCTCCAACGAACATAAGTCAAGACAAAATACGAGCATCATACGGTGTCGAACACAATTTATTATCAGACAATTTGTGCTTGGCAAGTTGGTAAATTTGCTGAACTTATTGTTAATTTAACAGTATAGAGCTATAGTTTATTTGGATATTACGCTCTAAAGTGCATTGAAAGTATTAGATATTTTAATTATTATACGATAATTATGTTATATGCGCATATACAGAAATGACTTTTAATCAACGATTTTCATTCTACCAGTACAAGATTTATCAGAAAGCGGAACGACGCTAGGCGACCCGGCCAACCAACTGCGTGGGAATGCTGTAAAGGTTTGTGCGTAGATTTTTATTTCCAGAAATCTCATCATATTATCGATACAACTATTTCATTTCCTCAAAGTGCTCTCCATTAACATCCATGCAAACTGCAGACAATCTTGCCGATTCCCTTCAGCTGTCGAAGATAAAAAAAGCAGTCTGGACTGTATGGCAATGGGGGGAAGGTTTGTTATAAAGATACTCCGTCATGACCGTTGTCTTATGTGGTACACGTCGTCGTGATGTCACGAACATTTGTTCTTTATTGCTAACGAAATCCTTAACCTTGGCAATTTTTTCTAAAGTCACTGCTTTGCAAAACAACCTTGTCTTCTTACTCGTCTTTGAATGTGTTGTGCTGGTAGACAATGCTTATTTTTTACCAACTCTTCGTGGATTCGAGTCGTGTCTCTGCCATTTTTCTACAAAGCAAAAATAAAGTACCGTTGGTTTTTACGGCTCACTTTTTTCCAGTTGTTTTACTATAATGTACAAAAATAACCATACACCTCACGGCACGAACTGACGACGCATGCAGCACCTGTGGCCGGATAACCTCCACTGCGTTTCCGCAGTTTTGCCGGTCATGTCAAGCGTTGGTCGAAAGGACAGTGTGCATTATCTTTCTGTTAAGTATCCGTTTCCTTTTCATTGATTCAAAAATATGTTCTCAATTAGGAAAAGAATTTGTTTTTATTCGTTACATAAAAATGTGCGCATTTTATGATGTTCAATTTTTTAGTTAAACTGTCGCAATCTCGAGTTAAAGCCACACGCAAGTTTTTTAGAACCCCCCACGTACCATTATTCTTCATCAATAAATTGCACAGTAATTAAATGGACGCGAGATAGTTAAGAATTCAGACACCTTTTTCTCCACCTGAAATATTATTTGATGCATTGTCTGCGCAGACAAGGCTGGCAGAGTAGACTTGATACGTTGCCAGAAAATAGACACTAAGGTCAAGGATAACAACACATTGTTGTATAGTTTATAAGTCAAGCAGGCGTGTATCTTTTTACGTTAGTATTAGGGATTCGAGTATAGGCAAACAAACCTAACTGTACAATGGTTCTAATTGCAGAAAGAATCTGTCCACGTTGTCTTGTGGGGTAAATGTTCGCTTTTACAAAAATATTATTACACAGTAATAAACTGTCAGTCAATTCTATGAGAAAATTAAAATTACAATCTAGGATTATTTTTTACTATTCTGCAACAAGTTTATAACAGAATACATAAGCACAATTTTAAATTAATAGAGCAATGAGAAATTGTATGACACCATGTCAGCTGGCCAACTTTGCATTATTTTTCAAATTGACAGAGCATCGCTATAAACGGTTTAGAGAAGGGTTGTAATATTGATATTGAATGTAATTTTTGGATTGCCATTCGTGATTGATGATAAAATGCAAGCTTTTAACATTTTATAATATTATTTGTACTGTTACTATTATCACTAAAGCTTACCCTGGAGATTTAAATAAGCAAAACTCTTAGTAATATTAAGAAGTGTAACTGAAAAACAATCTGCGTTTAGTTTTGCTCCATTAGGGTACAATTTTGTTAGACCATATTGACCTTCTTTTGCTTTAGTTGTAAATCTAAAAAGTCAAATCTCAATCAACAACGGATAAAAGCCGTTGAAACGTAATGCTCAATTAACGACAGATATTTGCATCCACAAAGCTTGTAAATAAGCAGACGTTATTCTTTGAAGATCAGCTTTAGTCATAACGGTCCGAGTCAATTAGCTGTAAATTTATATTTCTTTCCACACCTTTCCTTCTTTCTTCAATTCGCATATTCTATTGTTTGTTCATTTTATTTCTTTCTCTGCTTCATATTCATACTCCTCACTGAGAGGGGTGTCGATTCTCTAGAGTAATTAAGTATTGTGAGTCTTAGAGTTGGTGAAATAAAAGACGGTTTACGAAGAATAAATATTAACTAACAACATTAAAAGTATGGATATTATAACTTTATTAACACATCGACAATTTATCGGTAAAATATATGTCGACGAGCAATCTACAGGCAGATCAAGACGATGTTGACTGACTCATGCAACTTGCATTTTCGTAATTGTGTATGGTAATAGCTATAATTCTGAGGGTTTTAGTAACCTACATATGTTTAGTATTTACTTAGTGGCATCGGATAATCCAAAAGCAATCTTGTTGGTGAATCTAAATTACAGTGCAATTTATTAGTCATATAATTTAGGGATAATATTTCATTTACAAGCATTACGGACATACAGAGTCATCTACATATGTTGAACGCTCAAGGCGTCAAGTAATGCATATGCTACAGTTTCTTGAATACGTAACAATTTGAAGTTTATGCGTTCAATACAAATGGCGTTACAATTACATGTATTGCATTAGTCGAATATATAGATCTTCATTAGTGCAAGCGTCGTACATAAAAATCTACCAAATTTAGCGTTGTTTGTTTGCATGATGCATGCCCCCCCTTTTTTGTCAATGCATTGCAATGTCATCTATTCGCTAATACAGTATAACATTTACCCTATTTGAGTTTTTTTCTCACGCACACAGTATGACCGTTTTTTCCCGGCGGAGCACAACCTGTGGTAACGCAAATGTCCAAATAACTAATGGTAGTAAGGCGAACGATTGACGAACTTTCACTACATGAAAAGGGATAAGATTGCATTGGCATTTGACTCTTGTTTAAGAAAAAAATCAATTAAAAGAAGTGGGAAAGAAAATTCTGACAAGAAAAGTTAATAACTTTTATAGACGGCCTAATTTAGAACCTGAATGTGTTATTATAATATACAGAATGTTTTATACATTGTATGACTGCATCAGAAAAATTTTGCTAGTACAAAAACCCGTAATACAAAAATACAAAAAACGCATTGCGTATGTAGCTAATGAACAAGATTTTCACAATAATTAAATTTATTGTTTCAGGAACGATGGCTTTAATGGATAGTAGACATCACCATTATTACCATTTTAAGTTCACAAAATATGTAAATGTGTAACGTGTAATTACCAACTAAACGCTTGCATTAATCAGGTTTATTGACCGGTATATTGTTGAAGTTTTAGCAGACTTATCATCTGTCAAAACGAACATGCTTTTGATAAAAATATCTAATATTAAGTGTTACATCTAATTTTTTTTTCTTTTAAAATGCACTTTAAAGTGGGGAGATTGTATATACACATTATAATACTTGTAGATTGTTACGTTTTACATCTACCAGCTTAGATATTGAAGCCATGCCGAAGGGATAATCAACGTTTACCTGACGTGATTAATCAGTTCTGATGCTTTTACAAAATGCTATTCATAACAAATTTTAACGACATTTTCTTCCTTATTCTTTTTCTTTCACTTTTGTATGCAATTAAATCATTATCAGTTTGTATTCTTACGTTTGCGTGCCTATGTTCATTCTTTTACTTACTCAATTTTTTGTTTGGCTGCCTTGACCTGTCGATACGTCTTTCCAGGTAGATCTTTGGCGACTTGTTTCCAATTTTCTCCATATTTTTCGACATTTTTTTCCAACTTTTCGATCTCCTCTTGACTCCAATTGACTAGAAAATGATTAGTGCGTTAGTTTATTGATAAACAGATATAAACACATATATAATATCTTGTATGCTAACCGGTTATAATTGCCCATCTGAGATTAGACAATAAAGTTAGTACACGAATTTTAGTATAATGACCAGGAAATCGAAAAAAGCCTACCTTTCGCGACAGGATCTTGGGCTTCTTCCTTGCATATATTCCGCAATAACCGACCATTCGTTTCTATGGAGAGCATAACAAAGACAAAGTAATTCATCTTCCTAATAGAATAAAAGCATAATTATTATTGTGAACGACAAAATAGTTGGGCTAAATGGCATAATAAACAGATAACATACTTGTTTCGTCCACCTGCGTTTCTTAAATCGTACTCTAACTTTTTCATTTTCCGTGGCTGTTGAATCAAACACACGATTGAATAAACTATCTTCCTGTTTGGTCCACCTGCGACCAAGCGCATGGCTGTCAACGCTTGCGTGACGGTTATTATCACTTGGATTGTTCATTTTAGTATGCTACGTTCATATAGAGCAGCACTAGTCGACTGTCAATTGTTCAATTGACATTAGAAGGAACAAACGAGGTGCTGGCGGTTATTTATTAAAATAATCAAAAATGAACGGCAAATTCAATGCATTATGCATGATTGTGCACCATCATCATACTTGTGCACCCATCACAAATGCATTTTTGGGTTAGTTTATTATTAACGCTATGTATGACTTAACGCAAATCTATTATCTATAAACTCAAAAATAGCGCAAAAATTTATGAATAGTTATTGAGGTCCTATGAATAGTGATCGCAAATAAGCTTAGCGTAAAGGTTCCCTATCTATCTCTCAATATATTACGGGAAATGCAATTTGCTTTCCGTCATTTACTTATGTCTTTACTATTACCCTCATGCAACTTCATGTGATGGAAAACCCCCCAACATGATATATGTGTTGATCATCAACATACCATATATGGGGGGGTAGACTATCAGAATCTCGTTGACAATCATTGATCACAAAGATTTGAGATGGTGTTTATTAGCACGAAACCCAGCCACATATTAATCAACTTCAACTGTTCCTTGCTGGATTGTGTCATACTAATACTAATGTGTTTGAGGTAAAAGTTACCGAGATACATAGAGAATACGGCCAAGAATATGCATATACGCCAAAACCCTATTCGCGTAACTAGATCATTAATCGAACATATCTTAAATTTATAACATTAAATTTGCTTGTATAATCTCTATAACACTCTTGTGCTTGTATTAAACGTATAGTAATTAAGAAAAAAGAAAGCGCTATCTAATCATATATTATCAAAATCTAAAAAAAGATTACTTATAACTTAAAGTTTGGGTTGCTGTATACGACAAAAAAAAAAGATTTAGCACGACGAGTTTATTTGCGGGTGGTTACGAATTCTATCATGCTTACTATTCAATAATCGGCCGATCGACATCTGATCCTTGATGCGTTTCCATTCTTTTCGCATGCTGTAAAATTTATTCCTAACTTGCAGACTGGACCTGCCAGACAATTCAAAGTCGTTGATGATCTTAATCCAGTCTGGTCCATTTTTTTCATGACCCGCTATCAGTTTATCGATTTCCGTTTGACTCCAAGGCTTCTTTTTATTCTTTTCGACTAAGAATGAAAGGACAACAGTAAATTAGAATAGGAAATGCATGGGTGTGCTAACATACAAATTATGTCCATTTACCATCAGGGTTTAGATGTTGAGTCCACCTAATAGAACGAAAAATTAGGCATAGATATTTTACAATAAAATGCTAAAACGTTAAGCAACTTGCCTATCAAAGCAGGCTCCGCCATTCCTTCCCGGAATGTCTTCAGCGATGAGAGACCAATTCCTTCCGTGACGAGCGTAGCCCTCACGGAGCAGGTTATCTTCCTAAATGCGATAATTGTCGGCTTTTTAGCGTATCTTAAAGCGCTAATTGAAATATAGAAACACTCAATGCATACTTTGTCCGTCCATCTTTTTCTGATCTTGGGCTTACTGTAACGTGTCGACGTCTTGTTGGTTTTATTGAGACTCTTCATTATAAAAGGATTGAGTAAATACCAAGTTTTCAGACTATAATTGATGTAATAACCTGAGAAATGATGGCGGGCGGATGAAATGTAAAAAAGGTGCAATTTATAGATAAAATGAGACTTGGTTATTCTTACGCTCCGCAGCCCATTAGTAATTCGCGCTCGTAATAACATACCGGGTCGAAATTAGGTACTAGGGCAAACAACCTGTCTATTCCTGTTTTACGAAAATTACAATATCTGCTCGAACGTTTTATTGGTCATTTTCATCAACGCCGATGTCATTTCAAATTGGCCGCTCTCTCTGTTTGTGTTCCGATGCATCAACATTAAAATTGCAGACTACGGGGGTTGGATATTGAATGAGACTGCACCTGGGTTATGATCATACACATTTATTTGTCGGTGTGTCACATGTGGGGGGTGGTTTGGTCTGCATAACATATCATGTTCACCAATCAAAGAGGTCTGTGCGCTAAAGAAGGAATCCGAACTCCCTTTACAAAAATTGAGACTCTTTGCTTTAGGAAACAAGTCATTTTATATAACGTGTAATGCTGTTTAATTGGTGGTTCTACTTATATTAATCCTAGAAAATTAGGCATCACGTATGATTTAATGTCAAAAATTTTTTGATCACACGACATTTGTCCTGCAATCCAATATATTACCTTACCTAATTTGCTATATTTTTTCTCCACATGTAATCGATCAAAAAAAAACTTTTTCCGTGAATGCAGACCATCTAACATAAGTTGCTTCTACCTATGTCAAAATTCTACCCATTGCACACTAAACTTTTTACGTGGCCTAGTCAGCAACATTGGAACATTGTTTGATCCCAAATCAATCTTGCTACGCTCGTATCCTACCTATGAACGGTGTGGTGTGCCAATCATTAGGCTTGGCAAAGATTGACTTACACCTATGAGTATGTAGAATGTGGTGTTTGACTTTGTACAAAAACTGCTAAATGTACCGATGCATATGTGCCGTTGCTTGTTTCACCGTTGGCAATTAGCAATAAAACTACTAGATCTCAGACGTGGATCAATTCATGGGTGAATAAATAAACTCCAAAAACAGCAACTCGTATAGGATAAGATTGCACAAACCATCGATTGAACAATCGGTCATACCACACTCGATATATTGTTCTTGCGCTATTTAAGCAGATTGGTTACATGAGCGTATAACTGTGCGACGTTAAACCTCTTAA